TTGAGCCAAGAGGATCTCCGGTGCGATGATGTTGCCAGGCGCAGATCCCCAAGAACGCGCCCGGACACGTCTGAATCGACAACCCATGGAAACTCCAAGCCCTCGTTTATCGGAAACTCCCTGGAAAGCGCTTTGCCGTTGTTGTCGATGATGCTTCGGTCGTCGGCGGTCGTACACATCGTCTCTTGCTTTTGTGGGTCGTCGTCGTTTCGTCGAGTCGAGTCGTCGGAGCCTGCGGGGATTCCGCCCTTGGGACCTGGTCCGTCGAGCTGGGGCCCAGAGAAATCTTCCTTCTCCTCCTCCTCCTCCTCTTCCTCCTCCTCTTCCTCCTCCTCGCCCTGCTCCTCCTCCGCCTCCTTCTTCTCCTCCTCCTCCTCTTCCCCCTCCTCCTCCTAGAGCGGGTACCATGCACGCATCGGGCCTTCCGGAGGTTCATCTTCCAGGGAATCCGTTTTCGGGCATCCAGGGTCGTCGACAACGACGTTCGGGGTCGAAATCGATGGACATGAACGATTTCCGGGCCCCAGGGTCATCAAAAGCGCTTCCAAGAGTTTTTTGCATGCTCGCACGCTGGGGGATGTGTGCAGTCGCCCCCGTGGTGGAGGATTGACTAGGCTATACAGGCGATTCTCTCTCTCTCTCTCTCTCTCTCTCTCTCTCTCGCGGGGCAACCCCGGGCGCGGACCTATCAACTATCCGCTCCTCGCGAGGCAGCGCCCCCACTCACGGGCGCAACGCCTAAATCACCGCCCGGGGGCCGTATACCGCCCGGGGGCCGTATACCGCCCAGAGACCGTATACCGCCCGACGGACCCTGTCCGCGGCGGGGGGCCTCCCGTGGAGAATCTGGCCCCGATTCCCCACGGGAGACCATCCGCCGCGGACGGGGCCCGACACCATGCCAAACAGGACCTCCCGGGGCGGGTTTTCGAAGCCCCGACACCATGACAAACAGGACCTCCCGGGACCATTACTCCCCAAAACTGCAAAAAAAAAACTAGAAATCATTAAAATATTGCCAAAACCACAAAAAAAAACATTGAAAATCACTAAAATATGCCCAAAATCACCCCCCGGGGGCCGTATACCGCCCGGGGGCCGTATACCGCCCGACGGACCCTGTCCGCGGCGGGGGGTCTCCCGTGGAGAATCTGGCCCCGATTCCCCACGGGAGACCATCCGCCGCGGACGGGGCCCGACACCATGCCAAACGGGACCTCCCGGGGCGGGTTTTCGAAGCCCCGACACCATGCCAAACGGGACCTCCCGGGACCATCACTACCCAAACTGCAAAAAAACACTAGAAATCATTAACATATGGCCAAAGACACAAAAAAAACTGAAAATCACTAAAATATACCCAAAATCACCCCCTGGGGGCCGTATACCGCCCAGGGGCCGTATACCGCCCGACGGACCCTGTCCGCGGCGGGGGGTCTCCCGTGGAGAATCTGGCCCCGATTCCCCACGGGAGACCATCCGCCGCGGACGGGGACCGACACCATGTCAAACGGGACCTCCCGGGGCGGGTTTTCGAAGCCCCGACACCATGCCAAACGGGACCTCCCGGGACCAGTACTACCCAAAACTGCAAAAAAACACTAGAAATCATTAAAATATGGTCAAAATCACAAACAAAACACTGAAAATCACTAAAATATACCGGGGAGCGCCCGCAAGCGGGCACACATTTCACCCCGCCCGCGGGAGGGCGCAACCGCAACCGCAACCGCAACCGCAACCGCAAGCGCAAAATCATTAAAATATCCCTAAACCTAAACCTAAACCTAAACCTAAACCTAAACCTAAACCTAAACCTAAACCTAAACCTAAACCTAAACCTACCTGAACCTAAACCTAAACCTAAACCTAAACCTAAACCTAAACCTAAAACCTAAACCTAAACCTAAACCTAAACCTAAACCTGAACCTAAACCTAAACCTAAACCTAAACCTAAACCTAAACCTAAACCTAAACCTAAACCTAAACCTAAACCTAAACCTGAACCTGAACCTGAACCTGAACCTGAACCTGAACCTGAACCTGAACCTGAACCTGAACCTGAACCTGAACCTGAACCTAAACCTGAACCTGAACCTAAACCTAAACCTAAACCTAAACCTAAACCTAAACCTGAACCTAAACCTAAACCTAAACCCTAAACCTGAACCTGAACCTAAACCTGAACCTGAACCTGAACCTGAACCTGAACCTGAACCTGAACCTGAACCTAAACCTAAACCTAAACCTAAACCTAAACCTAAACCTAAACCTAAACCTGAACGTGAACCTAAACCTAAACCTAAACCTAAACCTAAACCTAAACCTAAACCTAAACCTAAATCTAAACCTAAAAAAAACACTGAAAATCACTAAAATATGCACAAAATCACCGCCCGGGGGCCGTATACCGCCCGGGGGCCGTATACCGCCCGGGGGCCGTATACCGCCCGACGGACCCTGTCCGCGGCGGGGGGTCTCCCGTGGAGAATCTGGCCTCGATTCCCCACGGGAGACCATCCGCCGCGGACGGGGCCCGACACCATGCCAAACGGGACCTCCCGGGGCGGGTTTTCGAAGGGGCCCGACACCATGTCAAATCCAAGGCCCGACACCATGCAAACGGGACCTCCGGGCCATTACTACCCAAAACTGCAAAAAAAACACTAGAAATCATTAAAATATGGCCAAAATCACAAAAAAAAAAAAACACTGAAAATCACCAAAATATACCCAAAACTGCAAAAAAACACTAGCCTGTCCGCGCGGGGGGTCTCCCGTGGAGAATCTGGCCCCGATTCCCCACCAGAGACCATCCGCCGCGGACGGGGCCCGACACCATGCCAAACGGGACCTCCCGGGGCGGGTTTTCGAAGGGGCCCGACACCATGTCAAATCCAAGGCCCGACATCATGCCAAACGGGACCTCCCGGGACCATTGCTACCCAAAACTGCAAAAAAAAACACTAGAAATCATTAAAATATGGCCAAAATCACAAAAAACAAAAAACACTGAAAATCATTAAAATATGCCCAAAACTGCAAAAAAACACTAGCCCTGTCCGCGGCGGGGGGTCTCCCGTGGAGAATCTGGCCCCGATTCCCCACCAGAGACCATCCGCCGCGGACGGGCCCCATGCCAAACGGGACCTCCCGGGGCGGGTTTTCGAAGGAGCCCGACACCATGTCAAATCCAAGGCCCGACACCATGCCAAACGGGACCTCCCGGGACCATTACTACCCAAAACTGCAAACAAAAACACTAGAAATCATTAAAATATGGCCAAAATCAAAAAAAAATGAAAATCACTAAAATATACCCAAAACTGCAAAAAAAAACACTAGCCCTGTCCGCGGCGGGGGGTCTC